ACGCATTCATATTGGTTCAAAAGGTTTTATTAACTGTTCAAACAGAAGATCTGATACAAATTCTGGGTAAATCATTCGACTCTGTCGGTACTTCATTTCAGACATTTGTCAAATTGTTGTATAACACCTGCAGGCAACACCAAAATATTCTAATAACCTAAAGACACCATGGACGATGCCATGATTGTACACAATCACCCGCCATATTGGGCAAACATTTATTCCTTTCTTTAATATCAAATAATTATGTTTCAGTTCGAAATTACAGATATAAAGAGATAAACATTAGTGTAATTGTGTCTAAATATAGGATTTGTGGAAGATTTAACGCAGATAAGTTCAGTTTTCCATCTTAAAAATCTAGACATATTTTTGATCATTGTCAAAATATGAATCAAATACGAAGCCCGTAGAAATTGGGTGCGCAAGTAATTCAATAGCCCTATATCACAGTGTAGAAGTTTATCATATACCTGTGTATCACAATGGCCTATATATAAGTAAACAAGATGACTGCAATGTGTTAGTTATATATTCTTCACTTCGTCTATACAATACATAAGAAATAGTTTGGTTGCAATAAACTAGAATCACGTAGCAGAATAGTTGTACAGTTGACAAAAACTGAATCTTGCACTGACGCAAATGTCCTATAGCGGCTGCAAGAGGCTTACACTTTTGTTTTATAACTCTTACCTGCAGCCCTTATTGAACCTCTTAAATGACTGAAGTGTCGTATTAGGTGTGCCCATTCCGCTTGTATAGCTGTTCTAAGAGGATTTGCCAATGTTCTTACAGTATACAATGCTCTTTAAGGAATACTGTATAATCATTCTTGCAACTCTAATAGGAGTGATAATTGTTAGTTGGGTACTAACTAACTTTTTTTTAGAGGGGCTAACTTGGGTGTCGAAAATAATCCTTTATGAACTGAAGATAGTATTGTGTGGACAGACAGAGTCAACCTACTTAGCGTCATTTTTTAATTTACGAAGTAGTATTGTCAGAGTGGCAATTAAATCATCAAATTTCAGCATCTTTAATCATTCCTCGTAACAACCGATGGATATTGATATACTTACATTGTTGTACAATTTTGGAACTAAGTCTAATTTGGTCAACGTGGTCTCATTCCGTTTGAAACGTTTTTTTGGTTGATGTTTGTTTTAAAAAGGCACGGATAGAGAGAAAAAACATTTAAAGTTTAGTTGATTAGGTCTGAAACGAACAAGGCGAAACTAATTCCGGAACTAAGCCACCAACCGTACGTCGTCTATTCGGTCACGTACAGGCCCGAGAAAGTTGCAACTCCCTTCGGACAACAGTTTGCACACTAAAACTTGTTAATGCGTCGCAAAGTTGACACTCCAGCATGGCTGGAGGAATATCGTATACTTTGCAAACAACTCCGCAAGGAGTTTTCGACAAATGCCAAATTTATTCATGCCTTGGGAAAACTCCAGTGAAAATAACAAATTTTCTACGACAGTTTCAATCTGAAGCGATCGAGGATGTCCAAAAGTGCATGATGTACAAGGCGGTGTTTCCATTTGTTATATGTGCAATCACAAAGAACGGTCACATTTATAGAAGTTCTTTGAGGACTGAGTGCCCTTTGAGAAATGATCCCTTCTTGGATTTTAAACAAGACAATAACGCTTCGTTGTGGACTATAACAAAATTTGGTAAATTCTCTAAAGTTGCACGATTTGAATTTGTACAATTTTTCTGCATGACTCCCAAAGATTCAGGAATCATCTAGATTTTCAAGTTTTTATAAAATAAATAATTTTCTACATTTTCAACTATTTCAGGACTTTCAGGCGTTATTTCGAGTATCCGGTTTCAATGGATGGCCGAGTTCTGCAAAAGAGCCGTTATTTTGGCTGATCGGGGTCCCTTCCACCGAGGACATGATCTGGCATCAAAACATCTCGTCAATAGCAGCAGCTGCTAGGGAAAAGCTAGGGATAAAAAGAGCTTTTCTCCACATGACCTCCTTACTCTGTACAAGGCCCATGTAAGACCTCGCCTGCAGTACTGCTCACATGTTTGAAGTACTACCGGCCGACTACATTATCCATGCTCGATGCTGTTGAGGCTGATCCTCTTCTCTAACGAACAGCCTCAGAACCCTTTCGCACCGTCGTTATATCAACATACTTTGTTCCCCAGAGCTCTACCTCCTAACCCCGCCTCCCATCCTAACTGTGTCGAACTTTGTACATCCAAAACTGGCCGATACGATCGCTCCTTTCTCCCTGGGGTATCGAGATTGTGGAACAAAGGCGGCTTTTCCCAATTATACTAGCTTAGGTAGTCAAAAAAGTCGGATTAACAAAGTTCCTTTAAACTCCTCAAAGCAGTCGCGGTGCCTTGGTATTTAGGCTTCTACCTGGGTGGTTACTTCGGTACATAAAAGAATATTCCGAAAATTCTGCAAATTTTGAAAACTGTGAAAATATTGAAAATGCCACCATTAGAAAGATCTTAAAAATGTCGAAAATCGTGTAATCTCCGATTTTTTTTTCCAAATTTGGAAACCTGTGATGACAACCCTTACAGCCAATTGTGAAATACAAATTTCCACCCTCCCTTGAACGTTCTCCAAGGAAGCGTTATTTTTTGTTTAAAATACGAGAAGTCACTCATCAAATGGTACGTGTTTTAAATGCCGATTACATATTTTAGCAAATAGGTATAAGCCCAATAAACATTTGTCTTTTTCCATTTGTTACGTACAAACTAGTGTAGCAGAAAAGTACATCCGTGTTAGTAGGAATCTCTAAAACAAGAAAAACTTTTTTCCCTTGCTTCACCGTCTAACTGATCTAAACGGAAATCCATATTTGTTTAAATAACAGATCAATGTGTTCGTAAAAGTTTGATTTGCAGCGTCTTGACTAGACCAGAGTATCTTATATTCTACGAGATCTTTCGATGAATGCCAAAATCATAGATACTCTGAAAATATCAAGTTTTCCTTAACAGTTTTAACTGTGGTGATCAAAAAACTCGAATCATATTCGACAAGTGGACAGTACGCAGAATTTGGAACAAAACACATTCTTGTGATTACCTGTATTATCGGTGTACCTATTAAGGAATTAAGCTATAATCCAGGTAATGTGACGGTACTTGGGTCAGTTCCAAGAAAATGAGATTAGACATTGACCTGGAGAGTACAGGCCATTTTACAATTATACTGAACAGGTAAACATATATTTCTAGAACAACAACTGATTTGCGTGACGAAACTTATGTGATCTTTTTTATACACTTTCGAAGGCATAGACTTTAGAAGGTTTCTTTCAGCGTACAAAATACAATTTGTCTCCATTTTGTCACTAATTTACCTGTGGATACTTAAGCGTACACACATCGAGTCATAACCTATCTAAAGATCTTTTCTTTACAAAATGCTAACTTCAATGAACAATTTTTGAAAATGTTATCATTAAAACCGTCCACGTCATAAAAAACACTTTTCAATCATTTTCAAGCACAAACATTGAAAACTGAAATATTTACCTTCAATTTGACAGAACTCCAATCGCACTCCAACTGCGACCTACCGGATTATACAGGGTGTTACAATCCTATTGTCATTTTGTTTAATAAAGTCATTTTTCAATTTTTGATTAGCCAGTCTCGCCAGGAAATTTGTACCCAACCCATTCGGGATATATACTTTAATATACTAAATTTCATGTGATAGGTGATGAAAAAATATCTTGCCTGTGTTACGTACCTAATTTTGGATAGACTACTACGATTTCGAAACCAAAATTGGATTTAAGTGCATAAAGTATTGTTCATTGCGTATGTTTATGAGAATATTTATTGCAAGCATTTAATATTTGATTTGAAGGAAAGACCTTTGGCCGCTTGAATCTACAGGTATCTGTTTTTTTTTCTTAATTTGAAAAAGGGGATTCAAAGAAACAGGGGGTTCCATTTAAAGTTTATGAGAAGTCGTCCATCTTGCGTTCTTGACCATGCTGTATAAGCTGTCAAGGAAACTGAAAAAGTATGTCTATAGGAACAATATATGGGATAATAACATTTTTTTAAGGAAAAATCCGGTACTCTAGTTTAACACCTGCTGAGGTGCAAGTTGTCGAAGTTCTGATTATCAAATATCTCAACAATTTAGAAATGGAGCAAGCATTATAGTATTTATGTTTAATTGCTTCGTTGCAATCTGAAATGAAATGTAATGTATTGCATTTGGGCCACCGCATAGTTATGAACCACCCTCTATCTAGAGATAAAAATATTTTCCAAGAGCTACAATTTTTGTAGTTAATTTTTTTAGATACTTTCTAGTTATCGACTGAGCCAACAAAAAAGCTCACCCTGTATTTAATTAAAGGTAATTGTGGCTAAGATTTGTCAGACAACCCTACAGTAATATATTCTACTATTATATATTTATCATTCATAAAAATCAAGTTTTACAAAAAAAAACAGAGACCTGCAGATTATCGCGGCCGAATCTTAGACTATTACATGCAGCTTAAGTAATATAAGCACATATTTTGACCACAGCGCTGATTTACTATATAAGCCCTCTATGAAGCCTTTTTGAGTTCGTGTTATGCACTTATCTAATAAGTAAAGTAATTACTGTTTATTTGTTAGCCTGCCTCTCCTTGGTCCATCCACCTCATTTTTCATTCAGAAATCTAGGATATCTTCTTAAATTTAAATGTTATCTGTTGTTAGTAATTTTCGGTCAGAAATTGTTCAGCACTTCGAGCAATAGGGGTGCAGAAACGCAAGAACAAGGCAGTCGATAGGGGGAAATTATCCCTCAGAGGCATTAGGTTAATCCGAACACCATAATCCCTAATTAGCATAAGACATTAGTCACCACGTGCAGCGTCAACTACCTGTACCTGTTCAACCCTGCAAAATTTGTTTGTCCCTTAATAGATTACTAATGATGAAATTCCTATAAATACCACCCAGAACATCGCATATACCACCATTTCTAGTTCAGACACCATCAAGATAGCATCAATATCGAGATGGCTCACTTTTCGAATATCAGCGCCCACGACATCGACGAAGCAAACAATTTCGCCATCAGTCTTCTTCGGAGGACCAGACCAGAGCTAACGGACGACCAACGGAGGATTATTGCCCATGATTTGGTCTACAAGGCGAACAAGGTTGTTTACCAAGACCGAGGACATCCTTTGCATTTTGAGGCCAGGGACTCCAAACCGCCACCAACTAAGGACGTTCCCACCCAATTTACACGGAATAAATCTATCCAGCAAGGAGGGAGCGTTTTCGAGAGGCTGTACGAAAGAACGACAACTTCGATCAGTTTGAAGTACCGAGTTAAGAGTGAAGCCACCCAGACAACACCTCGCAGACAACTCAAGCCGGAGGGCAGAAAACGCACCAGCCTTGCACCTCTTACTGCCTTAGGGGCCCCTGAAGTCAAGAAGAAGAGACAAACCGGCGTGGAACCGCCGAACAACGTTGCGGCCAAGAGAGACGTCTTCGAAAGGCTTTACTCTTCGAGCAAAACTCACTGCAGCAACCTCAGACAAAGGAATGCATCAACATCCAGTAGCACCGATTCAGCGGAATCTCTAAAGGAATGTATCGGGAGTGTACAAAGGGCTTTGAATCAGTTGAATCTGAAGAGGTGATCACTTGTATATAACCTGAATTGAATGTGCTATTAGATAATAGGTGTGAATATGTAAGAACGGGGTGGTCGATAGTTTTACGAGTCTCCACATAAATGTTTTTGTTTGTTAATAAAGAAAATACTAAAGAAATATGGGGGTTTTCAGTGTACCAGCTTTCGATTTACTACGTCCCATAGTGCTTCATCAACATTTTCTTATAACGATCGCTTAGTTCTAATAATATCCCTAAAAGCGAGTTTTACAGTATGAAGAAAAAAGATTTAATCAAGATTAATTTGTGATTTAATGCTGATAGATGTTTTTATGATCACATTTGAGATCAGCTTTATCTGTTTTAGACAAAATATCGACAAGTAGAGACCATTCCGGCCTTGTATGTGGCTTAAGAGGTATTGGCATTTGATCACCATGTTTGATACGATCTTTTTCTCTTCCACAGTGGGTTAGATCTTTTTTACTCTATATAGAAATTAGGAAACTAATTGGGATACAGCATATTGTGCGAATATAATTTTGTTAGAAACAGCATCTTTGCGTTATACTATAATCGTTTGTTATTTGCTAACAAACAACTTAAATAGTTATCTTGTAATAAAAACTAAAAACAAATTCAGGCTGGAGTCTTCGCACAGTAGACAGAAACTCGGTAACAAGCGACAGAGTAGAACAGTTTTGGATGAGGCAATTTTATTTTTGGAATTATTCGTATCATTATTGCACTTCTTTGCTTTTCTGAAATAAAGAGATTTAATAAAAAAATGTTAATACAAGACCTTTTACTGCCTTTTCCGTTTTTACCGTCATTTTCTCTGCCTTTTTATCAATTTTGGATACAATCACTTTCTCTACCTTCCTTGGGTTTTTTTAAAATTTTGTTTTGTTCGTGAGCCATGTAGCAATTTCTTCTTACCTCTCAGCTACGATACCTTCATTTTTAGTTTCTCATCGTCCGCGACGACTTTTCTGGATCTTCATCCTAGTTTCTTCTGTCTCTTCCGTACTTCCTTCATATTGGAGTGCATTGTAAAAGTGTACATCATCAGACATTAATTTTTTGAAACCTTGCAAATGATCCCATTTCTTTTTTGTTATCTTAAGCCTAGTCGCGTAGAGCTGTTTGGGGGGAATAGGCTATATCAATTTGTTTTTGGCATTGAGGTAAGACTTCATAAGGCTCAATGTTTTCCGATTTGTAGTAGATTTGGCCAGTGCTATCATATCTTAGACATTTTAGAACGTTCACCTTTAAATAGTTTTTCTTACCACCTGGACGTATGGAATTGTACCTTTGACAGTCGTACTTCGAAATTCAGAAAATACGAATGGTTTTTGTACTCAAAGTCCAAAGAGAATGATCGAATCTCTAACTAGGTTTATGTAATCGGTAGGCAAATGTATGTCTTTCCCTCTCAGGCGCCTTTCAATGAGACAGTAAGTCCAGTCACACTTCATTTGAGTGTGACACTTTTCCAGATACTTCTGCTCAATCACTATCTTATTACCCTGCGGCCAATAGAAACAAGGCATTGGACAATATGCTGATTTTTTTTATCCGCAACTATCTGACCACAACACAACCGGTTTGGCTAGAGCATTCCGTTTATTTAGAGTAATCCTGTAGCTCATTTGCTAAATGTCACATTACAGAATGCGCCAAGTGAATCTATCTGAATTGTTCTCATGTCGCAGTACCGAACGGAACCAAACCGCTCCCTCACTATGATATAGAATTCCTTGCAATAAACTGATAATCACTGACAAGGAATACAACCTGCTGAAGCGTATTCAAGATAGCGCTAAAGTCCAGCAGCTCAGTGTGATAAACGCAGTCTATGTGTCAGTGGAAGACTGATTAAAGCCATGAGTACCCTGTGGTAGTATGGGTGACAAAAATTTAAGTTATGTATCAAAGAACAGCAGAAATAAATATCTAGAGAATCCATTAGCATTGGGATTGTTGCACATTAATTCTAATTTATCGTATACTAACAGAACAGTTGCAAGATCCAATAGGCTGTAACAAATATTAACTTTTTAATCAATCTTCCCAGCAATAAACTAATTACGCCTTCCAATCGAATTATACATTTCTGATATGATTTCTTAGACACTTACTCTGGCATAAGGCGTTATTGTCAAAATACCATAGATATCATTATTTGGTCAAATAGCGGGCACTGTCTAGCAACCAACACAGTCACGTTCAGTGAGCAAGTGGATGCTGAGGGATACAGCTTATAGGAACCGAGAATAGCAGCTGATTCAGATACGACATATTAGAATATGCACAAAAATGGTGGTTTTATTAGCAGGTTCACCACGACAAATTGTCATATGATAGAAATACCCTTTTCCATTTGAAATCCATCTCGATTTCGACATTTTTTCGGATAAGTCGAATTAGAACTAAGCCATCGATATATGGAATTGGAGGTGATATGTAATTTCAAAGTAATATTTATTCAGTGTGTTTATGGGTATAGTTTGATATTTGATTTCAAGAAAAGAAACTTTATAGTACGAAATATGGCCGCTTGAATCTGTAGGTATCTGTGTTTTTAATCTTGGAAAGAAAGGAGAATCAAAGGCTGTGAAAGTGCACCGGGTGTTCCATTTGAAGTTTATGAGAAGTCGTTCATTTAGCGTTCTTGACCACGCTGTATAACTTCGGAAAACTAAAAAGGTATGTGTATAGGAACAATAGATGGCTATCATAACATTTTTATAACGAAAAATCCGATACTCTAGCTTGAACACCTGAGAAGGTGCAGCTTATCAAAGTTCAGAGTTTCTTTGTTAGATAGATTGTCAAATATCTCAACAATTTGTAAATAGAACCGTATAGTTTGTTATATCCAGTTGCTTCGTTACAATTTGCAATGAAATGTAATGCAACGCATTTGAGTCATCGCATAGTTATGAAACACCCGGCAAAGATAGAAATATTTTTGAAGTAAGGAGCGTACTGTTTGCTATAATTTTTGTAGATAATGTTTTTAGATACTATACGCAATAACAGAATTATCGACTGTCCTCGCATCAAACACTCGCTATACTTACTTACAGGTAATTATGGCCAGACAACCCTGCTGTAATATATAGTCTGTGTGCGAAAGGTTGGGAAATCTCGAAACATACTTCAGTCCAAAAATTGATAGCTTACGAGGTACAGGGTGTCAAAGTTACAATTTTGTTTTCTATTTTTCTTTATTGCTTGAGATGTATTCCAGATTTTAGCATAAAACTCGGTATAGGGAGATTTTCTAGTATTGGAAACAAGAATCCGTTATTTTTTATGGTCAAACTTCTATAATAACTTATCATAACTTTTTTGAGCTACCCCGTATACAACAACTGACCGAAAATTTCTATTTTCACTTATTTCCTCAGCAAAATGGGTTTACTTGTCAGAAGTGTCTAAAGCTAATAGTTTTTGAGATATTTGTTTTTAAAGTATTACATCTTGCCAATCCGTACATTAAATGCATATCAGAATATTCATCAAACGCATACCCCACGATGTTTAACAACTTACTGTCAGCTTAAAATTATTCGTGAAGTTTAAAGCAATATCATGACAAACATTAGAAACCGTAGCAACGCTACTCAGATATTACCCAAAGCAACTTGATTATTATGTTATAAAAATGTCTTATCATCATGGTACCAATAAAATGCATTGGAACCTTTAAAAACAAAAATCTACAAAACTGTTAGCTTTAGACACGTCTAACATGTTAACCTTTGTCGTTGTACAAATTCGAGAGAATGAGATTTTTCCGTCAGTTGTTGTATACAGGGTAGCACAAAAAAGTTATGATAAGTTATTTACCGACATAGTGCTGTAAGTGGCGCTCTCTAGAAGTTTATCCATAAAAAATAACGGATTCTTGTTTCGCATACTAGAAAACACCCCTATACCAAGCTGTATGCCAGAATCTGAAATACCTTTCAAGCAATAAGGAAAAATAGAAAATAAAATTGTAACTTTGACACCCTGTATCTCGCAAGCCATCAGCCTTTCGCAGATATTCTACTACTAATAATTCATAAAGGTCAAATTGTATATAAAAAGATACCTGCAGATTGTTGCGGCCGAATCTTAACTATTACATGTATTTTTAGTAGTATAGGCAGATATTTGTTCACAACCTTAGTCTGACTAGACTGATTTATTATATAGGCCCTGTAAGTAAAAGTTTCATAAAACTGGAACAGTAAATTAATATTGATTAACTTTACATCAAAAAAACTATTTCATAAGTTACATACTAGAACAAAGTGTTATCGATTCACTTATCCAGCAAGTAAAGGAGTAATAACTGTTTACTTGTTAGTGTTGGTCCACCCACCTTATTTTTCATTTAGAAATCTAGAATATGTTTCAAATATTATCTGTCTATAGGCATTTCGGTTAGATATTGTTCCACAAACAATAATTATCCCTCAGCGTATTCGGTTAATTCAAGTCTAACCGCCTGTACCTATTCAACCCTGTAAAATTTGTTTTGCCGCTTAATGTATTACTAAAGAGAGGATTCGTATAAATACCAGCCAGAACATCACATAAGCCATCATTTCTAGTTCAGACACCGTCAAGATAACACCAATATCGAGATGGCTCACTTTCCGAATATCACCGCTGAAGACATCGATGAAATAAACACATTCACCATCAACCTTCTTCGGAGGACCAGACCACAGCTGACGGACGATCAACTGACGATTATTGCCCATGATTTGGTATACAAGGCGGAAAAGGCTATTATCTACCAAAACCGAGGACAACCTTTCCAATTTGGGGCCAGGGACTCCAAGCCGCCACCAACCAAGACCGTTCCCACCCAATTTACATGGAATAAATCTATGCAGCAAGGGCGAAGCGTTTTCGAGAGGCTCTACGAACAAACAACAACTTCAGTCAGTATGAAGTACCGAGCTAAGAGTGAAGCCATCCAGACAACACCTCGCAGACAGCCCAAGCCCGAGGGAAGAAAACGCACCAGCCTTGCACCTCTTGCATCCATAGGGATCCCTGAAGTAAAGAAGAAGAGGCCAAATATCATCGCACCGTCGAACAACGTGGCGGCCAAGAGAGACGTTTTTGAAAGGCTTTACGCTTCGAGTAGAAACCACTGCAGCAAAGTCAGAGAAAAAAAAGCATCAAGTAATACTGATACATCGGAATCCTTAATGGATTGTGTCGGGAGTGTGCAGAGGGCTTTGAATCAGTTGACTCTCAAGAAGTGATCACTTGTATATAACCTGAATTGCATGTACTATAATATAATAGGTGTGAACATGTAAGTACATATTTTAAAAATATGCAGGGCGATAGTTTTATGGATGAAGTTTTTTGAACAAAAATAAAACATAAAGCTAACGTTGGAACGGAGGGAAAATCTTTTTTTTGTGTGTAGTTTTCGCTTGGAATATACGCATGACGCAAACCTTAGGTTGTATGTATTTCAGAGCATATCTGCAATCAACATTCTCCTTTTTACCTTCGTACTTGATTGTCTTTCAAGAACCCCAGAGTGGGCCATTTTGGATTTTTTCTAGTCAACTAACGAATTTTGTGTTTCTTACTATTTCCATATAAACGCATGCTCACAAAAATAAAAATGCCGATGAAAGCTTCAAAAACAAATGTTCTGAAATATGCAATTAAAAAAATTTCATAATTTCAACCAGCTTAAGGTTTGAAGAGAAAAGGACCTAGAAAACCCTGTTATCGACCCTTGTTCGGTTCGAGATGTCGAGCCAGCCGGTCGAACAGACCTAAACTCCGAATAATAAACATATATTGTTCCCCTAATGAAGTGAAATGTGCTAATGACACTTGAGAAGCAATACTTCACGGAAAGTGTTTTGGTGCAATTGCCAGAATCGTCGCACTGAAAAAAGATTTTCGTTGCAAAAAATGTTAAGAAGACAATAAAGCATCTGATAACACTTTAAATACTCATCTTCTGCTGAATGAAGTTAATTGTCTTTTGAGAAAAGTATGTAAGTGAACTTGAATTCTTATAATAATATATCCAAATGCATTCTGGGTCTGCTGTGTCGTCTGCTGCCTGTTTTTGCCGCATTCCTCTTCGTCAGTTTCTTACTCTCAATCAGTAAAAAAGAACGTAAACACGAAGGTAAATACATCAGCTGTTCTGGTTATAGTCTAAGATCCGATCTAAAATCGTGTTCCACCGGTGTGTCAACCAGATGAAAATGAAATTTTATCAAATGTAAGAACTCTTTGAACATACTTTGATTAGAAAACCCTTTGAAAAATGGTCATACATATATATAAATAATTAAAATTATAAAAAACTACTATTTTTCAAAACTTCGCCGGCGTGCCAACCAAACAAAACAAACTCCAATGAAAAGTTTATAATGTACACAAAATGCAGCTCCTCAGTTGTTTACCTTTTTCTGGTCCCTATTACCTGGCAGCTGCGTTCAAACAGGTAAGTCGATAATAGTAATTGCACTCTTCTGTCGAGCAACTGAGACCAGTCTTAAAATGAAAACAATTTAATTACAAATCACTTAGTATACGGTTGCTTGAGAAAATATGTTCATAGATAGTGGTTGAAAGACTTTAAAGTTGAAAAATCGCGTCGTAAACTGTGAGGGAGTGCGCAGATTATATACTCATAGTAATGACAAGGATAAATGAATTTAATATACACCAATATGTCAAAGGGGTAACGAAAAATGTTTTTAAAACAAAAAGAAAATAATATTCTTAAAAAAAACATTAAAACACGCTTAGAAAAAAAATCTTTTATTAAACTACAAATACATCAAAATAGGTGATACAAAACATAGTGATAAATAATTATTATTCAGGATCAGAGTCGCCGGAAGTTATTGTTTTCCAAGTCAGAGGAAGTTTCCTCGTTTTCTTTTTCTGTCATGTCTAAAATATCATTATTCTCAAAGGTGTCTGGTCTCCATCAAATCCTTTTGGTTTTAAATAACCACTCAGGAACCAACCACAATTGTGGCGGTTCAATTTTACAAAATTACGGTCGGTAGCATGTAGCCACATTGAATTTACATAAATAGTGCGTACGATTTTTTGTTTGAGTGATTCCCAACATAGTGGTATCGTATTTTAACTGTTTTAAGGAAATTTTCATTATCTTCCTTCGCAGAAAATTTTTTAAGAAATATTTGATATCTGTCATCATTAACTTTTATTACCATACATGACCGAGGTAAATTCTTGAATTGCATTCATTTTATCATTAATAAAAATATCAGCTTCATCTGTTAATGAAGCAAAGCAGTTTTGATTCGTTTGGTTCTTCGAAAATAGCTTAAATGGTCTTAGCTTCCCCTTATTACAAAAATCTGCAGTGTAATCGGAACCAGTGTATGCATGAAAAGCAGGTAGACCTAGACACAGATCGGATCCCAATTTCAATGCCAATTCCGTAGAATTTATGCAAATAATAATATTTTTTCTTTGTCAATGAACTTGCAAGCCAAATTTGACAGTTTTGAATTTTGTGCATATTATATTGCCCAATAAAATTATCAAAACATCTGCTGATTTGATTAAAATATTTGAACCTGCTGCTGCCTTGTAAGCGTGAAAAACCATTCTCGTATCCGCTTCTTCGTGAAAACATTTATGATCATTTCCTTTCGTATTTATTACACGATTTTGTTGAGTGTGATACGAAAGCAATGTACTTCCACTGTCAAAAAAATGTTTTCGTCATTGATTACTTTTTCTAAAGAGTGATTTTCCCGATAGTTTGCCAAAAACTGTATCAAAGCCTCTTTGGAACGATAATTTTTCAGAAAATTTGGAGGTCTGGTTTGTTGAGGACCTGAAATTTTGAACGCAATATCAAATTTCTGTCGATTCTGACGTTCTGAATCCTTGATTGAAGGAAAAAATATTAACCCTTAACTGGTATCGTCATTTTTACGTACGTAACTGGTATCGTCGGGTCAATTTTGACCCGACGATACTTTAAGAAGCTGAAGCTACCAACTTCCGAAATGCTATTACTGATCAGTTGTTAGCCTAATATACTAAATGTTTTAACAAATAAAGCACTCGTACATTCAAACTGTTTATTGTCCAAAATCAAAACAAAATACTGCATCTGAAAATGAGTAATGCAATATAATTTACGAAATTTCAACTCAAGTATGAATTTATCAAAAAACTAACATAATGGGCCATTAAACAACATATTTGGTCTTTATATTCTATAGCGAAAAAACAAATACTGTCTCGTATTAGAAAACGTGCAATAACGTTTTCATAGCCTATCACTCACATTTGGCACTTTCCACATAACAATGTAGCTGCGCTGTGAACTTTACACACGTGCTGGTTACACTTATTACAGATCGTAGAATATTTATTGTCATTGTGAGACGGGCACATGTAACACCTACGTCGTTTTTTTCCTTTAAGAACTGCACAAGGATCAAGAACTCTGGGCTGAGAAGTGGACGGCTGACTTTCATTCGTCGGCGTCGTCGTGTCGTCACATTTCAGGATTCTTTGCATGACTGAGCGAAGCTCCCTAGGAAGCCTTGGTTCCGATAAACGTCGTCTCATATGAGGTTCAATTAGAGTTTGACCTAGGTGAACAATAAAATTCCGTCGTCTCATAGAATTTTCAGTCCCAGACTGGAACAAAATAAAGGAATTTACAGAAGCTATATTCATAATAGCATACCAAATAGCACACGGCCACCTTCTTGTTCTCCGACCAGTATTGTAATTTGCACACTTCTGATCTAGTGCATCAACTCCCGCCTTTGTGAGGTTATAATATAAAATCATATCAGGCTTCTTTGATTCTTCATCTATTTTGTTATCATGGTGCATAGATGACACTACCAGTACGTATTTATTTGGTTTTGGAACGTAGGAAACTAAAGTTGTAGTGCCAGTAAACACAAACTTAGAAGTACCTGGGTCGGTTTTCTTATTTGGGACTACATATTGTGGTATTTGTGTCTTATTTTTACGCATCGTGCCGACATAAGTCAGTTGATTTTTGCGCAATTCTTCAACTAATTCTATTGATGTGAACCAGTTATCTGCCGTGATATTTCTGTTCGTATTCTTGACTGGATCAATTAGGGATAAGACAGTTAGGGTAGGCACTGACAGCTTTCTTGGATTAGGCTGCACACTTTCTGATTTACCTGTATAGACAAAAGCATTGAGCAGATAGTGAGTCTTTGCATCACAAAGGCATAATATCTTTAGTCCGTACTTGTTCGGTTTACTTTTCATGTACACACGGAAAGAACATCGGCCTCTAAAAGCCACGAGCATCTCATCTATTGTAAGGGACTCACCCGGAATATAACAATTTTGACAGTTCTGTATGAATGTCTCGAAGATTTCACGTATGTGGCGAAATTTATCAGGCTTTCTCGAATCTCTGGTAGAAATACTATCAAACCTCAATGCGACTAGCAAAAACATGAACCTCTTTAGGGACATCGTAGCACGGAAAATGTCTCTACCAGTGCCGTCTGATGCAAATAAACCTTCAACATCTTCATGGTTGGATTTGAAAACTGATGTCAAATAGAGCAAACCAAAAAATGCTTTCATCTCTGCTGAATCTGTGTAACTCACAAACGAAGCTGTTGTTCCATATTTGCTGGACAATTCCGTAATTTTCTCATTTGTACAGTCCACAATTTTGCTAATCATTTCATCGGTTATGAGAAGAGACCAGTAGTTGACAGGGTTCTTATCTTGCAAATTTCTTGCCACGGGTTTTAGTCCAGGTAAATGCGTAATAATATTATGTCGTCTGGTTCGACCAGCTGTAGGAGCTCGTTTTGACCATTTGTACATGTTCTTTCCATAAACATAGCCTATGGATGATAGTGGCAAATCTGAAGAGCTATCTGAGTCCACACTGTTGTCTGCACCGCCATCAAAATCGAAGTCGCCCACAGGAACTTCTTCAGCTTGATCGGCAACAGCGTCGTCCTCGGCGTCATCTATGGTGTATTCTTCATCAGAATCGTGATTACTGTCGAAAGTAGCCGCATCACTTATATCGCCATCATCTTCACTGTCTAAGAACAACTCACGTACTTGTTCTTCGGTATATTTCTTGCCGTCAATAACGAAAAAATCCATTGCGAAGAAAGTCCAAAACGCACACGCAACTGGTATCGTCGGGTCACATTTGACCCCAAAGCAAACAAACCAACACTTGCGACGCTCAAATTAAACTGACCTTTGC